GAGAGAGAGAGAGAGAGAGAGAGAACGCGAGAAACATATGTGCGATAACATGTGTGCGTAACGTGCGTGCGTGCCGGTCCGACTGCCTGCCTGTTTGCCTGCCTGCGTACGCACGTGTTCACACGCAGAGAAAATATTGTGGCGGCGCAACGACGAAGCGCCGCGTTCGCGAGAAAGGATTATTCGCAACGATTGTGAATGTCGATATTGTGGAATTATATCATGATGAAAAATTCTATCTATCTATTAATGAGTATGTATTGATAATTCGATATATCGATCGATCATTTTAGAAAGGACGTTAGCTCCAAGCTTTCGCTTTTTTTTGAGATATTTATTCGATAACGCTAGGGTGATCACCGGACACGCTGTTATTTCTATTATATATGGGTGACCAAAATACGATCTTTCCTGTACATAAAAGTATCTACACACGAAATCGTATCGTGTATGATGAGAACATATTTTCGATATAACTTTTGGTACAAGGGTCTTTCTAAAATGCGCGACTCGATCGAGATACCGAGATCTATAGGTACGCGCGTTCTCACTGTTGAGATGTGTTCTCATTGTGTCTAGCATCACGCTGCATCAACCTGGAACGCCACACTGGAGTTGAACGGACGCTGTGATCTCGACTCTATTCGCTGTCTCTTTCATTCAAAATTCTTTGCTATTTATCCAAAAAATTTATAGTATACAAAAAGATACTAGATTAATATCTTGAAACATTGATCTTGTGTACTTTTTGAAAGTTTCCATTCAATATTTTAAGAATATTTCAATATTTTAAATTTCCATTCAATATTTTAAGAATATTTCAATATTTTAAGTTTCCATTCAATATTTTAAAAATATTATTGGATGATATAATTTTTTTCACTATAGTAAAAATGCTTTACAAATATAGAAATGTAAAGATTATTCGTAATAATATTTATATAATATCAAAAACTATACATTCAAAAGTGTTATGCAATATTGAATATTACAATAATGTTCTATCAATGATTTTATGCTCACTGAGTAGAAATTTCCGGTTACACGGCCTTCATCTCATTAAATTACGTCGCGGAGAACGACATTGAGGTTTCATCAGTCTTTTCGAAGATCAACAGTTCCTTTGTGGACCCCACGTGGTGCTTCAGGGTCACGCGAGAGCGTAGCGCGCTGCTGTCCGTAGATAGAGCGTTTAGCGAGATGCATAATCACGGCTAAACAACACATTATTATTATAGTCGATATCGATATGTTGTTAACGCGCGCAATCACTAACACGCAATCGTATGCTCCAATTGTTCTCGCAAATAACTCTTTCGAAACGCGAAACGCCGCTCCGATCCTCGCTCCCGTCAACACGATGCACATTGCCGCTAACTGCCACACTATTCTCTCCGTGTACGAGCGCGACGAAACGAAGAACGTCGCACGCCGCACTACGTGTGCATCGCACGAAAAAACAGATAAAAAAAACATACGACATGGTACAAAGAAGGACAAATGTATTAGGTGACGTTTATCGAAATTATGAAGAGGAATTATGAATTTTTATTACTGAAACACTCAAACGTTGGTTCGTTCATTTCTCTCTTGCATGGTAATATTACCCCACAAAGTCAATCCGAGATCGCGGGAGTCGTTGGTCTATTCGGCCGACAGCGACGTCGCCGTCCACTCTCAATCGACTTCGCCGACATGTAAATATCCGAGTTGCCACGTCGCCATGTAAATAGCAGATCGGAAGTGGATTGTCAGCAATAAATTATGATATCTATTTATGCTTGCAATGTTGCATTGTTGCGATACGTGCCGCCGTCGTCGACGCGAGCGTTCCCGTTCCTCGCGAATCGAGTCTCCCGGGCTTATCGCTGCAGCCACGTGGGATTACGACGTCAGAAGCGCGAGTTCAGTCCTGCGACACAGATAAATCGGTTCGCGTGTCAAACTTGTGGAACGCGTGACGATAACTCTCTGTCTCTCTTTCTCTGTCTCCTTTCGGTCTACGTGATTCGACGATAAATCGATGAATTCGGCCGTCGCGCGAATTGCGAAATTTTTCCTGCGACTCGATTCTTTATGGTTCTGCTCGAGTGTCCTCGCTCGGAGGGGAGAGAACGAGTCTCTCGCGCTCCTTCTCTATAAATCTGTCTATATACCTATGCATAGACTTTGCTAATTATGCAATTATACCGCTAATTTAATACCGGCTTGTCCATAAGTCGACGTGCATGGCCGCAAAACTAGTTAAATCCGCTTCGCGCGCACTATTTCGAGAGAGCCAAGAAGCGAAACATTACTGTCTACGACGAGGAAATCGCACTAGCCGCAAACCGGAATGCTCGACCAGGAAGTGTCCCGAGTGCGGCAACGCGCCGTGAGATTACACATGATAATCCGGCACCACGTGCAGCACAACGGCGCCGAGACGCGGGCGCCACGCGAGATCACGGCGGATCTCCGTTCTCCTCCTCATTTGTCCTTCTCCTCTGTCGCCCTGGCGGAGAATACGCGCGGAGCGCAAGAGTACGTTCGTCGTGCCGGCGGCCAGCAACCGTCGAGAGCAAATCTCGCACTTTCGTTCAAGCGTTACCGCGCTCGCACTCGCGCGGACAAGCACAGGAGGGGGCGACGTCGACGAGGAAATCGCGGTGTCCGCCGCGGAGGAACGCCTCCGCTCCGTTTCGCTTCGCGCGCGAGTCGTCGTCGAGCAGCTAAGCAGCGAGTCGAGGGAGAGAGAGAGATTATTTCCCGAGTGCCGGCTCTCCGAGTCGTTGCGAAGTGCAATCACAGCACGAGCGGTGCTTACTTTGTTTATCCGTGTCTCGTTGGTTTGTCTGTTCGTCGCCCAGCCGGTCGCCACGAGGGGAGTACACGTCGTCGTGGGCTACACGTGCGCGCGGTCAAAATAACGCGCGCGTACAATCGAAGTTCGAACGCCAATCGAGATTGCACGCGTGCGCGTACGCTCTGAAGCTATGCGCGCATGAACGGGACGGCGAGCGCGCGATTCTCGCTAATATCTTTGAGTGTTCGGATAAGGGGACGAGGAAAAACCGGTCAACTTCCGCGGAAATCGTATCAGCAGGTACTCGCGCGTAATTGTCACGAGAAAAGCGTGGCTCCTCGAGAGTGCGGGACACATTGCCGATGAGAAGATAGCGCGCGCGTCGATTTGTTCCGGCGATTTCACGCGCGCGCGCCCGTTCGCGCCTATTCGTTCAAAGGCGGACTGGCTCTTCGCACTTTTGGACTGAAGAGGAAGGAAACTCGTCACCATCATCGAGGATATCGCGTGAACGAGAAGCGTCTTCGAGAAGAGACACGTACGAGGCTGTAGCTGCGGCGTCGCACAAACTCGCGCGAAGTCGTCTGACAGAACAAGCAGTAAGTGAGAGTGACTGTTACAGTCGTGATAGGCTAACGTATGCATGTTGTGGGAGTAATTAATTCACGGCTCGCCGCGACTAAAATCGTCTTGCTACATTTCATGTTTTATTCATGGCGGCGAAGAGAAGTTAGCCGGCCATGGTGGATAATTGTTCCTTTTGGAAAAACTCACACGTCCTTCAATCAACAAGTTACGAGAGCGTCTTAATGAGGGAGTATTACTGACCCGACGGGTGAGTTAACGTCGCTGCAGTCTGTTCTTTTCAACCGGTCCTGGGTTATTTCACTCTCACATTCCTCGCGTTGCCGAG